ACATATAAATTCACCCGACGCTGTCCAACTGGAGTGTAACATTTCCAGCAGGTACTCTGCATTTCTCCTGCTGCATACAGGTAAGTTCTGCACTGCTTCTCATATTACCGCGTCAGGATGATCAGCTGCTGCAGCATCAGAAGCTGGGTTCTGTTCGGTGGGGGTCACAGGTACGGCAATCCGTAAATCCTCTTGCGATCCGGCTCTCGTGAGAGTGACGTTGAAGCAGAGCATTGTATGTCTTAATTTTCTCATACAGCATTAGCCCCGTCTTCTGCATAACTAATTTCATATCTGCATCAAGAGCTGCCTCTGCAGCGTCTCTGATGGTAGACTTTGTGAAACGGTGTAATTGTTGAGGGGTAACTAATAGGGATGAGCAGGATACTCTTTTCAGATGAGTATCCGGTACGGATAAAGCATTTTTGACGAATACGAGCATGAAATGAGTAAAACTCGTAAATATCTGTAATCGTGCTGAAGGAAAATCCTCATTGGCTAACTGACTGTAGGGCTGCTCAATTAATCGAATTTTAGTCACGATTACGATCTGGGCTTTCAACGATCATTAAAAATGACTGAGCCGATTATTAGCACCTCCCTCGTGCTTTACTCTCGCGTGGCAAATCGAGCGCACCTCTCTGCGTTTCGAACACATGACGCGTCACATCAAGAGTAAAGCTAGTAAAGCGTCACCTCAGAGGAACTAAGCAGACGTTATTTGGAGAGGAGAGGATAATGGCTGCTAAAGAAAGAATTCCGTTGGTTGAAAAGCGAGGCAAAACTACTTCAGTGGTGCGGAAACATTACGGGTTCACGGAGTCAGACGTGAGTCAAGTCGATATAGTGTGTAAACTTTGCTACGGTGTTGTAGCTGCACCACAGGGCAACACTACCATTTTATTTAATCATTTGAAGACCGCTCACAAAGTAACATACGATGAAACAATGAAGGAGTATAGAGAAAAACCCTCAACAACACCAGCTTCATCCTCACAGACCTCCATTCACGCTACCCTGTACAACGCGACTAAATATCCCACCAGCTCCCAGAGACACAAGGAGATAACAAACGTGGTAACGTTTTTCCTCGCCAAAGACCAATGCTCAATCAACACAGTGAACAACCCCGGCTATAAGAAGCTAATCAACACTTTGGACAAACGGTATAACTTGCCATCTCTTCACTATTTTAGTCGAGTGGCGATTCCCGCTTTATATCATGAGTGTCATGATGGTGTCGCAAAGGAAGTGGCTACAGCCCAATATTTTTCCACCACAACGGACTTGTGGTCAAGCCGCACCATGGAGCCGTATTTGAGCCTCACGGTACATTTCATTGACCTGGATTTCAACATGAAAACGAAATGTCTCCAGACATTTTTCCCAGAAGACCACACAGGGCAGAACATAGCTGCAGGTCTGAAACAAGCACTGGCTACGTGGGATCTGGAGGAGAGTAAACTTGTCTGTATAACCAAGACAACGCTGCAAACGTCATATTGGCTGCAGAACTGAATGGCTGGATGAGGCTCCAGTGCTTTGGGCACAGATTACATTTGGCCATAGGTGAGTAGGCCTAATTCCTACTGAATATGATGCATAATGTGATTTTCTTTTAATAAGTATACAACATAATGCTTTGAATGAATATAATGTATAAAAAACTTTAAATTCAGAGATACTTTTATTCCTTCTCAAAGTGATACACATTTTCTATGAATTATAGAAACACATAAATAAGCTACCATCACGTGTTCTTATTCATTCACACTCAAGGAAATGACAATCATCCTCCTGATAATGCTTGTTTATATTTTTTCTGTTTTTACAGAAAGAGCCATGAAAGATCACAGGATTGAGCGTGCTGTGGGGGGTCTCTAAAAAAGTGGTCAGCACCTTTTCATTCAGTTGGAAAAAAAAGAGAGAGCTGAAAAAAGCACCGATAGACCTCAAACTGCCAGACCACTCCTTAAAGACCGAATGTCCAACCAGATGGGGATCTAGGCAGGCCATGGTTTCCAGAGTCCTTGAGCAGCAGAAGGCCATTGCCCATGTCCTCTCCCAAGACAAAGGAACTAGGCACCTCATCCCCTCATGGAAGGACATCGATGTCCTTGAGGCCATCAACAAGACCCTGGGACCTCTGGCTGAATTCACTGATGCACTTTCTGGAGAGAAATATGTGAGTGCGTCTTTAATAAAACCAACACTCCACCTATTTAACAACTCAATCTTGGCTGAGCAAGATGATGACACAGACCTCTCAAAATGCATCAAGAGGAGAATACTGGAGTACCTAAATGAAAAGTATGGTGACTCACCAACACAAGAGTTGCTTGACATGGCCACTGTCCTGGACCCAAGGTTCAAACTGATATGCAAGCGAGGTCAGCCAAGAAACAATCAAAGCCAGACTGACAATGGAAATGAAATCCATCATGGTGTCTGTCTGTCTGTCTCTCTCTCTCTCTCTCTCTCTCTCTCTCTCTGTGTGTGTGTGTGTGTGTGTGATGGGTTGATGAGGCCTCATGAGCTGTATCGGCATATTTACCAAGCTGTATTGATACTGTGTCAAAACGCTGTTGCTTCCAAGGACTGAATAACATCTACTACATCAACAGGAGTCTACCGACACCTGCTGGATCTTATATATCATTATAGGCAACATAATTAGGAGATTCAAGTAGTCTCCTGATTAAATAACTTTATATAAGTATATTTATGAAGCCTAATTGTATTCCATGTTGTACACTGCATTATTTAATATCTTAATCTGAGTTTAAAATGTTATATTTAAAGTACTATATTATTATAAATAATCTGAATGTCAGTCACAACTTGTGAAAAAATGAAATTAGAAGTGTAATGTTGCCCATGGACTGACTTATTTGGACTTATTTCGTTTTTGTGAAGAACTTATTATTATTATTATTATTATTATTATTATTTACATTTGAAAGCAGAATCGGAGAGGAACTGGATGAAACAAGGAACCAAAGATCCAAACGGTCCCACACTGCAGACAGCTGTTTATTTTCTCTCTGCTTCCATGATGGAGGCTTTCAGGGAATAATTTTGGTTCTGAAGATGAGCTTTTTCCACAAACTCATCACGTTGTCAGATGCAGACGCGCCTCCATTTTAACACAGTTTACCGCTTCAGTAACAGGCGACACAGCAGCTGTATCGGTCCCCTGACTATTTCTTAAAGTGGTACACGCACCGATACGGGGTTTCGCTCTCTGAGCTTGATACAGGCGTCAAGGCATCGTTGTTGCTGGACCCATCACTACTATCTATCTCTCTGTCTATCATTATTTATAGTAATTATTTAAGGATTGTACTTTAGAATGCCAAACCCGAGACGGATAAAACTGGTTCCTCATTCTGTGTTGCTGTCGTTTTGTGTTTGTCCCATTGAAGGAGGCTGCAGTGATGGGGACACCCGTTGGTAACACGGAGGTTGCTGATGATGGTGCATCAAACCAAACGAAGAGGAAAAGGGGCCTAAGCAGCTTCTTTAAGGCCCCTCACAGCCCAGCAGCTCCAGGTGCAGAACATGCTCTTCAACTGGACCAGGCCATAGCTTGTGAGCTTCAGGGGTACCTCCAGGCAGTGACCCTGGACACAGAGGAAGACCCACTGGGGTGGCGGAAGCTATCACAGAACCTCTTACCACGACTCTCCATCCTTGCAAAGAAATATCTTTGCATCCCAGCCACAAGTGCCTCATCAGAAAGGGTCTTCAGCACTGGTGGAAATGTTGTCAACTGCCTACGTGCATCCCTAAAGCTGGTGTTTTTGGCTAAAAACCTTTGAACGGTTGCAGGAACCATGTTTTGTTGAGTCATTTTAAGATTGTATGGGACTCTGGCCTACTAGTTTTTATTTATTTCTTATAAAAGGTACTACTTTCAGTGTTTAATTTTATTTTTGTTCAGGCAGCAACTTTAGTTGACATACCTCAATGTCAGTTTGATGCAATTGTGCATTGTGTGGCTACACAGCTTGCCTTGATGTTTGGTTATTTGTATGCATAAATATTATGCAGTAGTTTGAAGTTCACTGAACATTAATGTTCACATATTTTTAATTTATTTACGAAATAGCAAAGCAAACATTTGCACAGTGGTCAGTATTTGCACACCATTTTATATTTTTTGACAATCTTTAGAGCAATTATTCAACACATTGTTATTGTTAAATAAATATCATGAAATAATCGAGATCTCAATTTCATTGAAAATAATCGTGATTTTCATTTTGCCATAACCGAGCAGCCCTAACTGACTGTCTTCACACTCTGTGACTGGCCAGTCACATAGAGCGTCCGCCCCCCCCTACACACAAAACTCTGCAGCCGGGAGCGCAGTCCGTCCGGCTCATCCACGCACACACAGAGACAGTAACGGATCTCTGTGCTTGCTTCACTGTTGCTCACGTTTCTTCAGTTTTCCCTAGGTTTTCTTCAGCTCGCCTCTTTTTTGGCTGAATATTTAAAGTTACTTTTTTCATAACTTACGTGGTGCATTTGACAAGACAGAGCTGAAAACGGCTCGTGCATGCATTGCGTTGGTCACTGCCATACCATACAAGAGTGTCTTGTTTCTGGATAATTTCTTATACTGAAGAGGAGAGAGCCAAATGTTCCCTTTCAGTACGTTTTAAAGCAATTTCGCACAGAGTATCCACAACATCTGGAGAGCAGCCTTTTAAAAACTCATGACGTTTCTTATCGCTCATTCGATACAAGGCTTTGAGCAGTGCCGCATTGCATTTTATGCTGGCTGGCATTGCTCTATTTTTGGAATATACACCACCGGCCACTGCCCCGGAAATACCCCGCTGCGCAGCCTTAGATGATCTGACGTATCTGGCGTTAAGTCTAATATTGAATATCCATGAGGGTCCTGGGTTGCGTCTTGGAAACTCTCGAGAAAATATCTTAGGGTAGATTAGGTTTGCTAAAACGTTTATTTGCAATTTTTCTCGTGGGTTTTTAAACAAAATAATATAATTACTGTTTAGACTAATTGTTCTATTATATTTACCTTGATGGAACACATTTTGCATGGAATAAAGTCTTGACTTTCCTCTTTCGCGTATTGCTGCAAGGGAATGTAACTGCTTTCTCGGTCCTCACCTTCTTGGCTCGCTTCCTGATCGTCTGGAAAAAAATAAGATATTCTTGTCACGAACAGAAGTCAGAAGACCCGTAATGACGCAAACCACAGTTAAAGTATATTAAAAAAGTCTTTTACTTTTGTGGAGTTACCAGAGGTGGGTGAGGCTGGAGACAGAGTCGAAGAGGAGGCGAGGGTCAAAACCAGATTGGACTTGAAGAAACAGGGAACAGGCAGGAGACGTGGTAGAGGACAGGCGAAGGTCATGGTGGCAGGCAGAGTACAAGGCAGGGGTCGGGAGAAAAACAAGGTCCAGAGGCTCAGATCAGGCAGGGTGAATGGCTGGAAGATCTACTGGCACAAAGTTTTCAATGCGGGGGTTTGGGGGAACAGCGACGGGGAACCAGGAGCCGGGACTGCGGGGGTCTTGGTGGCCGGCAACGGGGATTCAGGAGCCGGGACTGCGGGAGTCTGGGGGGCCGGCGACGGGGAACCAGGAACCGGGACTGTGGGAGTCTGGGGGGCCGGAGACGGGGAACCAGGAGCCGGGACTGTGAAAGTCGGGGGACAGAGGACACTGGAGGACTAGGACTAAGAGGGGGCTCTGGACTAAGACTAAGACACTGAGGGGACTCTGGGCTAAGACTGAGAGGGGACGCTGGGCTAAGACTAAGAGAGGACACTGGACTATGAGGGGACTCTGGAGACTGAGGGAACTCTGGACTACAACTACGAGGGAACTCTGGACCACGACTAAAAGGGGACTCTGAAGACTGAGGGGACTCAGGGAACTCTGGACTACAACTACGAGGGGATTCTGGAGACTGAGGGGACTCAGGGAACTCTGGGCTATGACTAAGAGGGGACTCTGGACTAAGACTAAGACACTGAGGGGACTCTGGGCTAAGACTAAGAGGGGACACTGGACTATGACTAAGAGGGGACTCTGGAGACTGAGGGGACCGAGGGGACTCTGGGTTAAGAGGGGACAGCGGGAACTCTGGACTAAGAGGGGACTCTGGAGACTGAGGGGACAGCGGGAACTCTGGACTAAGAGGGGACTCTGGAGACTGAGGGGACAGAGGGAACTCTGGAGACAGGGACGTAGACTCTGGGACTGGGGGAGAGGGAAACTCTTGAACAGGCTGAACTGGAGACGGGAACTCTTGAACAGGCTGGACTGGAGACGGGAACTCTTGAACAGGCTGGACTGGATACAGGAACTCTTGAACAGGCTGGACTGGAACCTCGTGGAAGGACTAAGCAGGATGTGATGCGTCCTCCGGGACCACCGCCGAGGCAGGATGCGATGCTTCCTCTGGGACCACCGCCAGGGCAGGATACGATGCGTCCTCCGGGACCACCGCTGAAGCAGGATGCGATGTGACCCTCGGGACCTTCACTGGAGCAGGATAGACAGAGCCTCTCAGACAGACGGAGGTGGAACCCCCGCTGGACATGGATGTGGTGCGGACCCTGGGACCACCGCTGGACATGGATGCGGTGCGAACCCGAGAACTACCACTGGATCTGGACAGGCGGCGTCTCTTGGAAAGACGAGGGTGTAATCTCTGCTCGACGAGGATGTGGTGCGGCCTCTGGAACCACCGCTGGATGTGGATGCAATGCGCCCCCTGAGACCACCGCTGGACGTGGATGCGGTGCAACCCCTGGCACCACCGCAGAACCTGGAAAGGCGGAACCTCTTCGAAAGGAGGAAGTAGGAACCCCAATGAGCATGGACACGGTGGGACTCCTGGGACTCCTGGGACCACCGTTGGACATGGACGCGGTGCGCCTCCTGGGACCACCGTGGGACGTGGACGCGGTGCGCCTCCTGGGACCACCACTGGACGTGGATGCGGTGCGCCTCCTGGGACCACCGCTGGACGTGGACGGACGGAGGGACTTGAGGCTTGAGCGGCGTAGCTGCAAAACCTTATGTCTGTGAAGGCCATGACCTAGTAGAAGGTCTCCGAGGCCACCACTGTTGCGTCGTCAGGAACCCGCTACGCAAGATGGCCGTAGCAGGCCTGGACGGTGGGGTGGAGCCTCTGCGTGGCAGTGGCCTGATTGCCAGCCGCATTCCCCAGAAAGGTGACTCCTGCTCCTTCTTTAGTTCCATGAATTCCAGGAGCGTGAGATACTCCATGACAGGTATGAAGAAAAAAAATACTCCCAAGTGCAGTGTCGGCATCGGGTCAGACTTTTGGGCCAGATTATTCTGTCATGAACAGAACTCAGAAGACCCGTAATGACGCCAAACACAGTTAAAGAATCTAAAAAAAGTCTTTTATTTGTTGTGGAGTTACCAGAGGTGGGTGAGGCTGGAGATAGAGTCGAAGAGGAGGCGAGGGTCAAAACCAGAGTGGACATGAAGAAACAGGGAACAGGCAGGAGACGTGGTAGTGGACAGGTGAAGGTCGTGGTGGCAGGAATAGTACAAGGCAGGGGTCGGGAGAAAAACAAGATCCAGAGGCTCAGATCAGGCAGGGTGAATGGCTGGAAGATCTACTGGCATGAAGTTTTCAATAATCTGGCAGAGACTGGATAGCTGGATGGTTCTTTTATAGCAGGGGAAGCAGGTGTGTGAGATGAGCTGAGGAGTCAGGAACAGGTGAAGCGGATGAAGCTGATGACAGGAACAGGTGAGAAGAATGGAGTTGATTGTGGTTGCCAGGGGAAGCAGGGCTTGTCAGGAGCTTGGTGAAGGGACCAGGTGAGCTGAATGAAGATTAAATGAGGAGGCAGTGGAGGGTGAAGGATGGGAGTCATGACAATTCTCAGCTAAAAGGGTTACATTTCGTTAATAAATTACATATAAAAATCACTTACTGAGTTTGTTCAAAGCGCTGTTAAGTCGACCAAATGCATCTTTCTGCAAGGGGGTACCATGTCACGCTCTATAAAAAAGAAATTAAATGTAGGTTAGTAACATAAAATTTTATGGATGAGTTGCGTTTTTTAAATTAAATTAATCATTTACCTATATGAGAAAGGGGAATGTCACCCCCCCCCCCCCCCCCCCCACACACACACACACACACACACTGATCGGCATCATCGGAAGATAAGACAACTGTGGCTGAAAATGGAAGTAATTAGATTGAGAAAACATTGGAAAGCGATGTTTGAGTAAGTTCCCTGATCACCTGGCATCACGGTGTATTTCTGCGAATGAGGCCTGAGATGTTTCCCCGCTACACTTATGGTCTTTTAAAACGAGATTGTGAATGGAAACGATGCGACTGGTTGCTGCCGATGTTTGTGGTTGAATACATATCTAACCGTTATAAAACAACACAATGGATTCTTATACTTTTGTTAGATCCTGGTTCTCACTGTGTGTGTGTGTGTGTGTGTGTGTGTGTGTGTGTGTGTGTGTGTGTGTGTGTGTGTGTGTGTGTGTGTGTGTGTGTGTGTGTGTGTGTGTGTGTTGCTAAGCACATTGCAATGTTAAAGCATAATGCACTGAAAGTTAATAAAATACTCATGATGAGACCAAGCCGGTAATGATGTTTACTCCGAGGAACTGTATCTGAGTTTTTTTTCTTCTCCTTTCTCGCTCCCTTTCTCTTGCTCTGTATTTAAGCCGCACATGATTGGTCAACTCCTTGAAGAGCCCTCGACTCTGCTCGTCTACAGCAAGCAGGAGGAGGAGGGGACGAATCTGGGACAGGCACTGGCGTGAACTCACAGAGCAGCAGGAGGAGGGTGAGAAAGGTGAGAATAAAACCGGCTACAGAAAGGTGAGGACATGAGGTAAAGCAGGATATGCAGCCAGATTTGAACCCATTTTACCAATCTTGACATTTCAAAGAGAGTGTGGACTATACAAAGCAAAATATATTTTGAAGCAGGCTCTACAAATTTTACTGTGATTATCTGAGTTTTTCTAATTTTTTTCATGTAAATAGTTAAGTCCATAAATATTTTTACATACAGTTTATTTGTGCTATTTAAAATGTATTTTTTTGCACTCTTGTTTAGTGTTGGATAGTTAGAAGTTATTTAAAGGGATACTATGCAACATTTTCATATTTTAAAATAATTTTCTTGAGCCAGTATGTGCTAAAATGACCCTTTACAGGACAAATGAAAAGTCACTCAGACCCCACCACCCTCTTTAGCCAGAATATCAAACTTGCAACTTCAGTGTGGCGGGCCACTGTTTAGCTGACACTGCAGTCTGCTTCCAGTGCGTTTCTTGCATGTATTAGATCATGAACACATCTGTTTGATGTAGTGATGGATCGCTTCTGTAGACGCTAATGACGGCCAAAACAAGCCAAAACTCTGTTGTCTACCTTTAAATAATAACCATGTTAGTTTGTAGATAGGTCAATAATTTGACAAGATTTTTACAAGAATTTTACACACTTTTCACATAATTTCTGGTGATAAATAAATTTAAAAAACAAAGAAACGAGAGTGGCTGTTTAAGAGCCGTCTCTCTTAAAAGAGCTGGGGTTCCCATCAATACAAGCTGGCCGACTTGATGCATCATAGGTTTTGGTGCGTATTTCTGTTTAGCCAGAAGATGACTGAACACTCTCAGCCAATCACAGAGCAGGGATAGAGGAGGGGGGCAGTCCACCGCCTTCTTACTGTTGTTAAAATGACAGCTATGCTGGTAGTTTTAAGTGTAGCAAGCTCAGAATGATCAGTACTAGACTTTTTACATTCATTTCGATGAGACTTGTTTGGGGTGATCCTAATGTACTTGTGTTGTCATGGTAACATATGACGGGAATCTGCTTCAATATAGTCATGTCCAATGCCTCATGACCATCCATCCATCCATTTTCTTCAGCTTATCGGGAGTCGGGTCACAGGGTAAGCAGCCTAGACTTCCCTCTCCCCAGCCACTTGGGCCAGCTCTTCCGGGGGAATCCCAAGGTGTGCCCCGGGTCTCCCTTGAGGCCTATTCCTGGTTGGACGTGCCTGGAAAACCTCACCAGAGGTCCAAGAGGCATCCTGACCAGATGTCCGAGCCACCTAAACTGGCTCCTCTCGATGTGGAGGAGCTGCAAAACTACTCCGAGCTCCTCCCGGATGACCAAGCTTCTCACCCTATCTCTAAGAGAGAGCTTAGCCACTCTGCGGAGAAAACAAAATTCAGCTGCTTGTATCTGTGATCTCCTTCTTTTGTTCACTACCTAAAGCTTGTGACCATAGGTGAGAGTTGGAGCATAGGTTGGCCGGTAAATCAAGAGATTTGCCTTATGGCTCAGGTCCCTCTTCACCACGACAGACCAGTACAATGCCTGCATCACTGCAGATGCAGCACCAATCCGCCTATCGATCTCACGCCCAAGCTTTCCCTCACTCGTGAACAAGACCGCGAGATACCTAAACTCATCCACTTGGGGCAGGACCTCACTGCTTACCCGAAGAAGGAATTCTACCCTTTGCCGAATCAAGACCATGGTCTCACATTTAGAGGAGCTTATTCTCATCCCAGCTGCTTCACACTCGGCTGTGAGCCACTCCAGCGAAAGCTGAAGATTACATTCTGATGAAGCCAACAGGACCACATCATCAGCAAAAAGCAGAGACCTGATCCTCAGGCCACCAAAACTGATGCCCTCAACACCTTGGCTGCATCTAGAAATACTGTCCATAAAATGTATGAAAAGAATCAGTGACAAAGGGCAGCCTTGGCGGAGTCCAACTCTCAATGGGAATGAGCCCGACTTACTGCCGGCAATGTGAACCAAGCTCTGACACCGGTCCTACAGGGACCTAACAGCCCATATGAGAGGGCGTAATACCCCATACTCCCAGAGTACTCCCCACAGGGACCCCCGAGGGACGAGGTCAAACACCTTCTCCAAATCCACAAAACACATGTAGATTGGTTGGGCAAATTCCCACGTACCCTCAAGGACCCCCCTAAAGATATAGAGCTGGTCCAGTGTTCCACAGCCAGGATGAAAACTACATTGCTCCTCCTGAATCTGAGGTTCGACAATCCGACTGACCCTCCTCCTAAGAACCCCTGAATAGACCTTACCAGGGAGGCTCAGGAGTGTGATCCCCCTGTAATTGGAACACATCCTGCGCCCCCCCCTTTTTTCAATCAATCAATCAATCAATCAATCAAAGCTTTATTTAAAAAGCGCCTTCTGCAACCCTGTCAGGAAGCCCAAAGCGCTGAACATGGTACAGTTGTAAGTAAATATATTGAAAAAATCAACAATAAAAGAAATTCAAATTACAAAATACAAATTACAAAATACAAAATGGAAATTATAAGATAGATGAAACAATTCTGGTAAAGGACAAATGTGTGAAACACATTTGGATTGAGTGGATGGATTGAGTGTCCCAATGAAAACTGTGGAATGGATTCAACATAAAAGAGGGCCAAAATCAAACATGTTCTGGAAACGCCAAGCGGAGGAGGTGTGTTTTTAGGTGATTCTTAAAGACTGGAAGAGAAGGGGACAGCCTAACT